GCTGCTCTCTGAGGAAGCCCCTCCATATGGCCCACCTTCTTTAAAGTTTACTCTTGAGGCACTTATCTCCTCCAGCACTGGCTTCCCAGGTCTTCCAATAACACTTCCCCCTTTGTGGATGCTATTCAGCTCTTCAGGCCTTCCTCCCTAGGCAACCCAGAGCTCAGTCTTTTCTCAAATACTGTCTTCTGTGTGAATTCTCCTACCACCTTTTAGAAAACCCATGCCCCTTCATCATAAACATTTCAAGCACAACTGATTTTTTTTTTTTTTTTCTTTTTTCGGTTATCTGTGATCCTTGACAAGAACTCATGCCAGGATTTTTGTTAACTTTTTTTCACAGCTCTAAATCCAGGACCTAGCGAGACAACTGGCACATGCCAGGCACTCCATCCATATTTGCTGGTTAAATTCTACACAGAGATAGCTGGTCCAGAGTAGGCAAGTGACATGCCTTTCATAGAGACCCTGCCTTCCTTAGGATCCCACATTCCAGGAAACAAACAGCCAGTGCCTTTTCCTGGATCTGCCTTAAGCCATCGGGGTGGGGCTGGACCTGAATAACACAGGCTAATTTAGTACTGCGTATGTGTCCTGTGTTCAAGAACTTTATACAAATAGTCAAAGCACCCCTGAGTATTTAGTGGCCTCACTGGGAAATGTTCCAAACTAAAAACATGAAGGAGATGTCAACATTCTCCTGAAAGTGTCTTCCCATAGCAACACAACAGCTTGGTCAGTTTACAGCCTCCTCTAGATGCCAGTCAAACTCAAGGACTATTTCCAGGTTCCTCCTATGCATTATATTCTTCTTTCATGCAACGAAGAAGTCCAATTTGCAAATGAAACCCCACTCTTAGCAGATTTTCCCAAGCCAGCCCAGTACAGGGCAGTTTGTACGGCTTTTCCGCCTGTGCCGGGATGCCCGCCCTGCTACAGGTGTTCAGCAATTTTCACGGTTCTTCACTCTGAAACACAACTGTGGCTTTTAGAAATGGCTAATTTTAATGGCTGGTCAATTTAAAAAAAAAGAAAGAGGAACTACCAATATTATTTCTTTTCCCTCCTGGGGTCCACAATGGCCCAGATTCTAGAAATTGCCTGAGTACATATACTGTCACAGTAAAATCTGTTTGAAGTTCATTTCCTCTACTAAAGAGTTAAAAGCTCACATTATTACAAAAGGGTGAGGGGATGTAGCAGCTGATAGAATTATAAAGGACAAGTGCCAGGAAAATCGTGACACTCCAATCATTTTTAACTTAAGCAATATTTTTACCAACTATTTTGCTCACAGCTTTTTGAGCAGCTTGTTTTCAGCCCCCCCCCCCCTTTAAAAAAAAAAGCACTTCTACCCCTGGGGAGAAAAAATGAAGACCTCAAAAGCAAGTACAAATTGCTCATTTAAAGAACAGAAATTAAGGATGCGGGGCTTTTCTTCTCCTCACGCTCATCGTTCTGTAGCAGGGATCCGAATCCTGTGCCGATTCTTCTTGGGCAGTGGAGCAATTTTGGGTTTTGTGTAAGTTAATTTTAATTTACAAAGCGGGGGTGGGGAGGGGGCTCCATTCTTGAGACACCACCGTTGCTATGAGACTTCTAGGCCACAACAGATGGCCACAAGAACAGTTCTCAGGCCAAGCCAGACCTCTGAAGCCTGCCACTCAGGCATACCATTAACATTCCTGGCATACCTTCATAGGCAGCTCCGCCAGCCACCTTCAGACTGGCTCTCCCCAGTTCCTACGCTGGCTTCTCTGGTCAAGGGGCCCTGGTGGAAATACCCAGACCTTTCCAGGGAAAGGGTGCCACCTCACTTAGATGTGGCTCCAGGTAGGCACAGACCTGTATATACACCCGGGGACACACCCCACTGTACCCCTTCATTTATCTTCAAGCTCTGCCTCACTCTTCACTGAAGACGGCCAGAATTCTTCTCCTTAGAAACAGTTTTAGTGCCAAGACAGAAGAGCTAAGGGAAAGAAAAGCTGAATTTCTAATTTCCTTTTTTAACAAGAAAAAAAAAAAACAAAAACAAAAACAAAAACAAAAACAAAAAAAGCAGCTCGGGCCCAGGCCTGTAATCTCAGGACTCTCAGAAGCAAGTTCAAGGTCATCTTCAGATATGTAGTAAGTTTGGGGCCGGCCTGAGCTACATGAGAAAAAAGAAAATGCCTCTTTTTTTATTCTACCTTTATTGTCCCCTTTCTTTGTCTTCCAAAGCAGGGTACCAATCCTGACCTGCCTGGTATCAGAAGGAGTCGGTGAGGCGTGGCTAATGAACAACTGAGAAATCATGGCCTAAAAGTAAGGTCACTAAACCTTCTCCAATGTGAAGCAACAGATAAGGGAAGAAGCCCACTGTTCACCCCCCTTCCCTTGGTGTCCAACTGCTGAGACAACCACCTGCGTAGCTGTCCCCAGGGCTGACCAGAGGCTTTGGTGGCTACAGTCCTCTGATAACTTTATCACTCATGCAGGAGTTTTGGAACCTGGTAAAACAACAACAACAAAAAAACAAAGCAAGCCATAGCTTCTCAGGGTGGAGTTCATTTACATTCCACCCCATCGTTTTCTCGGCTTTCAAACCAGGCCTGCCTGAGGTGCTAAAGCAAAGTCCTCCTTGGAGACTCACTTGGGGACTGTGACCACGCAGGGACAGCAGTGGCAACCCACTTCCACTCAAGATCATCCGGTTGTGGAGGGCTCTCCCTTCACTGGGACTCGCAGATTTGCCACAGATACACTGCTGCCATGGTCATTTGGATTTTGCTCCTGAATCTAGTTCGACTAAGTGGGAACAAAATGACTGGGGGTTGCAGAGGTCTTTTGATTTCCAAAATCTCCCATCTGAGAGGACAGTCTCCAACTGTCCCCACAATGGAACCATTTGAACTACTGTGAGGTGGTTTTGTTTGTTTATAAAAGCATGCTTTGAAAGAGTTGGTCTAACCAAAAGACAATTGGTGAGATTTTAGTGAAGTCCAGAGGTGGTGGGGATGCTGCTGTGTTGTCTATCTGATACCTTGGCTGAAGCACATGAACGACTCATGGCTTCTGAACAGCCAGGAGCCAACGTAGAGGCAGAGGACAGTAGTTGAAGAGGAAGTATCTGCCAGCTGGAGCCTTCAGTTCATGGGGCTGAACCTTTCAAGCCAATCAGTGGGGCGCACCATGCAGGGAGGGGGCTGGGCAGTTCTATTGAGCCCCTTTGTGTGCTGTCCACAGCACCACACAGCCAAGGAGGGAGTGAGCAGGCATTCCACAGCTCCAGGAAGGAGACTTAAAAATGGTCGTCTCCAGGGAAACAATAAATTTAGTTACTTAATCCCCACACACTCCAAAGTAGCACTCTAAAGATACTGTGCTTGGAATGAAGTAGCTATGTGTCTACCCCCAGTTACTAATGATTGTGTTATGTATTTGGGGTGGGCTCAACCCTGCACAAATATACAGGGATTTCCTGTACATGATATGAAAGTTTTTTCAACTTTCTCTTGTTCGTGTCTTAAAAACACTGAAACTTTTTGTGTTTTTAAAAAAAGATACTAACTAAAGATTGCATTTATTCCTTCCAATGCAATCTGACAATATCCCTAATTCAGGATATCACTTTTGATTTGTTCATAAGCCAGGGGTAGAATTTTAAAATAAGAACCTAGATGCTAGATATTTGCCACCTATTTCTATTTTGATGCTTATTTCTTCCAAACTCTTCCAAAACGTAAAAGCACACAGTATTGCCTTGCTACCTATGTATCAACCTATATATTAAACCATCATCAACCAAATATACCAAATGCACACATATTATCAAAATGATTGTGTGGTGGTCACCTTTTACAGAAGTAATGTCATTTCTGGGGCTTTTACTATTCAAAGCAGTCCTATTTAGCATTTACGCTCATTAGCTGTATATTGCTACTATGGGGAAATGTTTTTATAGCGACAGGTTAGCTAACAGTAGCAGAGATGGAGAGTTCCAACTGGTTCAAACACGGGAGGAGAAGATATATTTTAGGATGATTAACATAGATTTTTGGCTTGCAGATTCTCTGAATGCTTATATCACCTTCCCTCCACCTTTATCTATCTTCCCCCACAGAGGTTTACAACTTGACTAGAGGCTCCAGGAACTGGTAAACAACTCCTTTCAGGAAGGTGTTCAAAGTCAGCTTAGAATCAGTCCCGCGGCTCACAAAAGGGTCTTCAACGTTTGTGAAGTTATTTTCATTAAAAGTAAATTAAAACTCAAGATTAAACTCCTTCTTGTCTTGTCAGGGTGAAACAGGCAAATGGGAACACTGGTTTCGAACCCACTAGTCTTTTTACTAACTCCTCAAATAACAAGTACTCTAATGGTTGCCCAGGTTGGGGAGTGGGGGTGGTCGTGGAAGGATTTGTCGAACACTTTAGCAGTAGAATGAAAGAGTAGAGTAAGAGCCAGGGCCTACTGTTCTAGGCATTTCTACTGCTCCATTTCAGATGCTGAAGCACATAGAGGGAAGCGGGGCACAATCAGCCCAGCGGTATCATCAGGTCCCCTGGCTAAAGTAGAATTCACTAACTCCATGCTGAACAAACCTGAAAAGGAGAAGGCGCGCTCACATCACACCATATGAAGTTAGAACTGTAAAAACAGCGTAGCTCACACCAGTAGGAAGCCTGAAGGTCGGACTCGAGCCAGTCAAGATGTTCAGCCTGACTGAATTGTCTCAGAAGTCAGTACATAGATCCGCGGGCTTTAATGAGAAGTCCCTTTACTCTCACAGGGGTGAGTTCTCATCCAGTGACAATAAGTGTACAGAGTGGTGAGGGGTACCGTGATCCGTCGCGCCCCCACCCACCTTTTACTTTTCCCTTTGCCATTTTGCAGGCATATCTGCCAGCTGGTTAAGTCGGTCTTGTCATAAAGCTCTGTCTCTTAGTTTAATCTTCTCCATAGTGTCATTTGTGTGGCTATCAATCGAGGAGAAATAACCAACTTAAACGGAACTTACCTCACAGAAGAGGGAACTCAAGCACCTCCATCGTCCTCGGTTGTCCGGATACTTCTGTCCGGCGTGACACACAGCCGGGCTGGCCCACCAACAGGGCTTAGCGGCTCGGGCAGGTGGCGCAGAGGCAGACTTCCGCCAACGAGCCAGCTCCGGGGCAGCAGAGCTAAGTCACAGGTGTCTGACACCCAGGCACCTCAGCTCCTGGAACCTGCGCTGTCCTGATTAGCCAGGCACAAAAGGCAGTTCGAATTACTGCCTTCTCCCCAGCCAATCGCCTGCCGGCCTGGCTGACAGCAGCAGGACCCCTGAAGTCAGGGACGTCCACTCGCTGGCCCCGGCCGGCAGCCGGTTTCCACCGTACCCGCAGGCAGCTCCGCTTCGTGCACCCTGGAGCTGTTTGTCAGGGTTAGGAGTTCTCTCTACCCGCCGACGGCATCGCCCCAGGGCCCTCCGACTCTCATCAAACACGCTGTGCAGCGAAGGCAAAGCCAAGCTCAGGACGGGCGTGTGCTTCTGGCTCTAGCAACCTTTGGAGCCTCTTTCTCTCCTCCCTTGCCTGGCTCCGGACGCTCAGGCCCCTATGCGGCTGATGGAACTCAATTTTTAATAGCTATGGTTTTTGCCAGCAAGACTTTCTTAAAGAAACCGGGAGACAGGGAGACACAAATACAAAGATCTTTTTACAGTCACCATTCTGAACGATGAAATCCAATATGGGCGGCGGCGGGGGGTGGGGATCACTTCAGATGTGAAAATGGATAAGTCTGCTGGAAGGTTGAAGGAGACAACAGGCTGCATTTTCAGCTCCAGAAAAGTGGGGCGTTGCAGCCCACCTGTGGGCAGAGCTGTCACGGGCTCCCTAAAGTGCCAGCTGAAGGCATTGTACTGGAGCCCGAGCCTATGAAATGGCAATCCTCTGCAGCTGTACGGCTAGGCAGCGCTTGATTCAAGTATGGTATTTGCCCCAGACTTTAGGGGTCAGCTTAACAGTAAGCATAGACACAAAGAGAGAGAGAGAGAGAGAGAGAGAGAGAGAGAGAGAGAGACAGACACAGAGACAGAGACAGAGACAGAGACAGACAGAGAGAAGCAGCACACACAGAAAACGGGTCTCTAAGTGTGTCTGAGTTTGTGGGTATGTAAATGGATTTTCATTTGTCTGGGATGCTATGGTGTGTCTGAGTGGGAAGCATGTGAAATTCATAGAAGACTTGTGAACTTCCTTCAAAAAGAATAACATTAAGATTTGCATTATTTCTTAGGTGTGGAAAAACCCAAAGGAACACACACACAAATAGATCACACCCCACCCCCACAAAGGGCAGTATAAAAAACAGTCAGTAGTAAGATCATTCAGACAGGAGAAAGCCTAAAGCTGTCATTGAGCTTCAAAGATGAGAAGGAATTCATGGGAAGACTTTCTCTGCAGAGGTTGTCTCTCCAGAATGCACCACTTGACTCCTGGAGCTATTTTTGGCTCTTAATTTGAAATGCAAGGATAGAGATGCATGTGGATCCCAAATGTAGCTTGGGTTGGGACAAGCAAACAATTCTGATAAAAATCTTATCAGAAAAAGGGAACTCCTGGCAGATTTTGCATTATAGATAGTCTCACTTTGAAAACAGCCTTCTGGAGGGGGCAGGTAGCCTGGTAATGCAATATTTGTTTAGCACAAGTGAGAAGGGCTCTGAGCAGGAGTCCCAGCAAACACGTATACACACACACACACACACACACACACACACACACACACACACCTTTCCTTTTAGAAAGGCAAAATTGCCTGGTGTTGACACATACCTTTAATCCCAGGACTCAGGAGGCAGAGGCAGGTAGATCTCTGAGTTCAAGGCCCACTTATTCTACAGAGTGAGTTCCAGGACAGCCAAAGCTACATAAAGAAACCCTGTCCCCACACCCCTGCAAAAAGGCGAAATTGTCTTGTTTTCTTCTCCCTAAAGGCCTTGCCTGAGTTGCATTCCCTTGTTATCCCTGGCCTGCCAGAGTTCGAGATCTTGAATGTGTGCAACTGAACAACTTCCTGCTATCAACCAAGACCTCATCTCCAACTATAGGGTGCAGAATGACAAAAGATTGTGTCTGACATTCATCTATCCCCAGCAGCCTTCTCATGTGGGAATGCCATGTCCTCAAACACTAATATTCACAGGGCAGAAGAGGAGCCACGGGTCAACTCCTCTTCGTGCCTAAAGCCATCCCCTGGTAGTCCCACTCTGTCCAACCTCAGCTCACTTGAAATCTTTTCAAGTTCTTTCTGACAATATGTTGTCAACATGTTGTTGGTCCCAATAACTAAATATATACAGCAGAATGTCTTCATGCAATGCTCTTTTATAGTAAAAGAAATCTCAGTGAATTTCTAAGGAAGCTAACCCAGGCATGTAAAACCTCTCTAAATTATGTTGAAGTAAATAAAGAACCTGTCCTTTTACAAATCATGAGCCAAGTAAGCAAACCATTGTGGCATCTACAAAGAATTGATGCTGATGCTTGATGCAGCTCCGTGGTTGAGTGCTTGCTTATTATGTGTGAGGTTCTGGGCTAAGTCTCCAGTGGGGGTGTGGGGGTGACTAGTCACAGAATGAAATTGTAGCGTGTGATCTCCGACAATTTGGGTCCACTACAAAAGCAATAGCAACTGTATGTGGTTAAACCTGTAGTTCACCACAATTGTCACTGTGTCTGCAGTGACAACGTCACGCTCTCAACTCACCATTAAAATGCTATAATTATTAGTCTAACCTTACAGATAAGAGGCCGACTAGTCTGTCAATCATTCTACAGCATGCAATGGAACAGGAGGGAATAGGCAGATGACCCCAAAGCCCACACACTCCAGCCACCACACTCACTCTGTGATGGAGACTTTGACATTCACTAGTGACCCCACACAACCTACTAAATACCTCTGTTTCTTTTCCTGTGAAATGGACGCCTATCTGATTTGGGGGCTAGAGCTATTGATATCATTAACCTACTCAGCATAGTGCCTGGCCCATGGGAGAGCTCAGGGTTCCCTGAGAGAAAAGGCTAAGTGAGGCAGCAGAGTGTCTCGTCACTCATTAGTCAGGGGTTCTCTCCCACAGGCAGAGGGACAAGAAGCCTACAGTCCTCCAGTCCAGCAGCAATTCTCCTGACACAGTGTGTGTCCCTCAGGGTGTAGGTGTTATCTGCTCAGTCTTCAGTGATCCTGGTGTGTGTGGCCTTTAGGAAGACTCTGATGGTATAAGCAATGGACTGAACCATAGGAATCCTACCCTGGAAACTACGGTAGGTAGTTCTCAAGACAACAGTTATAATAAAGCAATATATGTATGTATGTATGTATGTATGTATATGTGTACACACACATACACATATATACTTTAAATATATATACATGTATTTGAAAAAAATATTTTTTAGGCCACACTATGTCTCTTCCTTGGAGGATCCTGGTCCAGAACATCACCATGCACCCTCCCATGTTAATGTTTGTGGTGAAGAAGAAAATAAAGATAATATACCAATGAGATTTTGACAGAATGTGATATTTTTATTTTCTCTTTCTCTAAAAGTTAGTAGCCCCTCAACTCCAGCACATCCTGTTTTTCTCTGAGTACCTTTTCAAAACAAACCCAAGGGCAGAAGGGTTTCACGTTACCCTGCTGATGAACTGCAGCCCATGATGGACAGGCTCAGTCAGAGGGATTTTCCTTAACGATTTGCATATGTCTTCGAAGGGTGCTTGTTTGGGATTAGAAATGAACGCCTGTGGTGGGAAAGCTGCATAAAGCACACAAGACTGGCTTCTTTTCTATTCACTGGCTGTCCTCAACACTGTCACCTTTCTCCAGGAGTTGCAGACAGAGGGGTTTTGTAGTAAGGTAGACCTGGATGACTGTGAGTCCTCCTTACCGAATATTCATGACATAGTCTCAAAGCTCAAAGAGCTTTCTGTCCGTAGGTTTTTGAAAATGAGAAGTTTGTCCTTAATACTCTCAGGAGGAATGTAAGGAATTTTATGAATGGAGGAGACAGAAAGGGCCTCTTGGCATCTGACCTGCTTTTCTTTTCCTAGAGTACTCGCCAACTTCCAACAGGCTGTGCACTGTACCCATGTAACTGTGCATGCTATATGTACCCATATAACTGTGAAAACTATATGTACCTATCTAACTGTGCATGCTGCAAATGTACCTGTATTAGTGTGCATGTTGTAGGTACACTGTGCATGCTTTATGTACCCATGTAACTGTTCGTGCTGTATGAGGACAAACATGCTTGTTTATTTATTTATTACTTATATAGTATTCTGCCTATGCTTGCACACCAGAAGAGGGCACAGATCTCATAGCAGATTGTTGTGAGCTACCATGTGGTTGCTGGGAATTGAACTCAGGACCTCTGGAAGAGGAGTCAGTGCTCTTAACCTCTGAGCCATCTCTCCAGCCCCTTTTGTTTTGTTTTGTTTTTTTTAATAATAGTTGAGTTACAAGTACATATAACAATGGCTGGCATAAATTAGATGCTTATTTTGTAAATGAAACTTTATAAAATCATGTAAAAGGTTCAGGAGAAATGGGACTTTTCACATCTCACTTCTAGACTTCACAGTGCATTGTGTGTGTTTGCATGTATGTGTACCTGTGTGTGTGCATATATATGTTCATGTGGGTGTGAGTATACGGTATGTGTATGCGTGTAGAGGCAAGAAGTCTATGTGCCTGAAGCAGTCAGATTTCCCAGGATGCTCTGGGGGAGTGAATCCTTTGGCAAAGAAGCCAGTGCAACCTTGCACTTGAGTGAACATTTTTTTATGTCAATCTGATGGCACCTCAACACTAACAAGGTTGATGAGATAATGTGTAGATTCTGTATGAGTCCTCCCCTGTCTAATAATTACAGGGCACACACAACTGATTGCACAGAAATCAAAAGGCGTATTTCTCACTGCTGACATAAGCGGTCACAGTCTGGTGACTACGTAGTTTCATTTTGCCTTGAGGCTACTGGCCTCTCTTCATATTCTGCAATTCCTGGGAAAACCAAGGGACTCTTGTCACAAGGATGTTAGTGACCAGAAGGTAGCAAGCAAAGGCATCTGATTGTTACTCCCTGGAGGTCCCAGCGTTGCAGGTGGGAAAGCCAGGTTACAGTTAGGCTAAGAATTGGAGTAAAGAAGTCAGGTGATGGTGGTACATGCCTTTAACCCCGCACCTGGGGGAATAGAGGCAGGTGGATCCCAGTGAGTTTGAGGTCAACCTGGTCTACAGAGTGATACAGAGTGAGTTCCAGGA